AAGGCAGAAGATGGGCAGAGCCAACGTGAAGGATTCTTCCTGTTAACTAAGGAGTTTAGACTTCATCTGGTAGGCAACGAGGGACCAATATAGCATTTATTTTTTAAATCACTGAGTGACAAAAAAAAATACAAGTGATCCTCTTATTATGTTCTTTAAAATATTTTAAATATGTTTTAATGACATCCATATTGTAACATATATATATATATATTTTAAGTATAAGGATAACAAAAAATTAGTACAGGAACTTAAAACAATAGCCAAATCTGCTTCAGACACAAGAGGGAGCAAACTAATATTCAAGGCAACATAAATCTTTCCCAAAAAGCTTGAGCAAAAACACCTCCTCTGTTTAGTGTTAAAAATAAAACTACCTTCCCACTTAGAAAAATCAAAGTACCAAAATTAAAGCATCAAAGCCCACACTTCCTCAAAGGAGCCCTGGTATTGTATGGCTATGCATTGGGTTGCTAACTGTAAGGTCAGCAGTTCAAAACCACCAGCCACTCCAAGGGAGAAAAATGAGGCTTTCTACTCCTATAAAGGGTTGCGGTCTTGGAAGCCCACATGGGCAGACCTAGCCTGTCCTATAGGGTCACATGAGTTGGAAGTAACTTGATGATGGTAGATTTTTTCGGTATTCTTCCTCAAAATTGTATATGGACAGTCCCCTAGGTTATAAATTTCTGATTTATGATGCACAGCCAGTTGTTACAAATCAATCCTCGTGAGGCCTATTATATTAAAAATTCATAGTATGCAACAGTTCATAATAATGAGTGGGAACTACTTTGCAATGCTCATCAAAGCATTATTATTATTACTGCATTATGAAACGTTTAAGGTTTTCATACATTGAAAAGTACACTACACACTCGGACAAACACACATCTAAGTAACGTTAGAGAGGGACCATCCTCACTGTTCTGATTTATGTACAGATTAAGCTTAAAGACATAATTAGGAGTGGAACGGAAGTCATTCATAATCTAGGAACTGCCTATACTTGCTCACCTTCATGTAGAAATGAGCAAAGAACCAATTTTTTATGGTATAAAAATCTTAGGAACAGGCCATTACTGCAGGAAAAGGTCCGAAACCTGAGCGGTCAAGATGGGTGAGTTCACCGAGGACCACACCAAGGAGTTTAATAAGGTGGCCTCCCAGCTGTTTGACCAAACAGGTGATGACAAGATCCTGCACAGCCAGTGTGGGGACATGCTGCGGGTCCTGGGCCAGAACCCCACCAACGCCGAGCTGCTCAAGGTCCTGGGGAACCCCAAGAGTGGTGAGACGAATGTGAAGGTGCTGGCTTTTGAGCACTTCCTGCCCGTGCTGCAGACTGCGGCCAAGAGCAAGGACCAGAGCACCTACGAGGATGACCTTGAAGGCCTTTGTATGTTTGACCAGGAAGGGAAGAACGGTACCATCATGGGGGCTGAAATCTGGCATGTCCTGGTCACATTGGGCGAGAACAGGACAGAGGAAGAAGTAGAGATGTCGGTGGCAGGGCACAAAGACAGCAATGGCTGTGTCAGCTATGAGGAGCTCGTCCGGATGGTGCTGACTGGCTGATGGCCCTTTCCGCACACCCAGAGCTCTGCCGTCTCCCGTGTGAGACGTGTGTAGCCCCCGAAGGCCTCCTCGCTGTCACAGCACCTCTCCCATCTTGTCTCTCTTGGGTACCACTGCCAGCAGCAGTCACCAAATGAACTTGCTCTCCGTGGAGAAAAAAGATGTTAGGGACAAATTTTAAATATTCTTTTTTTTAAAAAATAAGCAAAGATGTTTCCTCCTTCAGAGGTACATAAAACATACATGATCCTCTACATACAGACACGACAGTAATTCACTTACGAAAAGGGTCTATTTGGTGGTAAGATTTTTGTCTTAAGTATAATTATGTAAAGGTCTACTCTTCCACCCGGTTTTCTTTTTTAAAAAACAACATTTTATTGGGGGCTCTTACA